ATCTGCAACCCCCAAACCCCAACTGCTCTTTCAGTTATTTGCCTTCTCAATAATCTTGCTGCATATCCTGAGTTGTCCTTGTTTTGAAATTGTATTTTCAGATTCTTCAGATCACATGTGTATTGAAAATTGTAACATAAGCATGGGTTATGATGCCATCACTCTCAAAAGCGGCTGGGACGAGCATGGTATAAAATATAATAGGCCGACGACTTATGTGCATATCAAACAAGTCAACCTTCAAGCATCAACAGGTTCTGCTGTGGCATTTGGCAGTGAGATGTCTGGTGGAATTTCTCATGTTCTAGCTGAACATCTGGACATTAAGAACTCATTCACAGGCATCGTCTTCAGAACTGCACCAGGACGAGGGGGATACATAAAGAACATAGAAGTGTCATCTGTTGAACTGGAAAATATTCACACAGCATTTATTGCAAGCGGTCAATATGAATCTCACCCCGATGAAGAATATGACCCAAGTGCCCTACCCATTTTGGAGCAAATTACAATCGATAATGTTGTTGGAGTAAATATTACAGTAGCTGGTAGCTTCACTGGTATTGAGAATACTCCTTTTGAGTTTACTTTATCAGAAATCTCCTTATCCTTGAATTCAGCTTCAACCTCTTCTTCAGCATGGGTGTGTTCCGATGTTGTTGGATCTTCCAAGAGTGTCTCTCCTGAGCCCTGCCCTGAACTCAAGAGCTCTTCCAATTCAAATTCTTTCTCGTCCTCCATTACCACCTTAAGTTCCAAAGGATCGGCCTCATATTTATAATCATCCCTGCTCAACGCCAGGGAAAAGGGAAAGAGTTGGGATTCTTCTATCCTCATCATTGCTTCTTCACAAGCACCAATAGCATAGATTCTTTCCAATAAGTTCAAAAGTATATTTTCATTTCATTATTCATCTTGTTGCATTCTTGCATTTTTACTCAAAAAAAAAAAAAAAAAAACAAAAAAAAAAAAAATACAAATTCTGCATATTAGTGTACAGCTTCATTTCTTCATTCTTGTGTAAGCAAATTTTTGGTAGTGGTGACAGAAAGTATCAAGAAAAAAGTGCAATGCTGTGTATTTCACATTAATATTTACATGTTAATGTTCTTTTTGTTTTTATTTTCTTTTTTCTTTTTTCTTTTTGGCATTTATTTGTAATTATCATTAAACTCATGACTGTTTGTAAATCATCTTTCATGATGTTAGGTGATACAGAGCTGTTAATGTTTAGTGAAACAGACTATTTTTATTTTTTTATTTATATAATTATTATTTATATTTAAATTATTAGTAGTACTAAAAAATGAATGTTTTTGAGTTGTCAGATTTGGCTTTTTCTAAGTGTGTTGTCTGACTTTTAAACAATGAGCTTTTTCTTGTTGTCTCCATTAAAAAGTGCATTAATTTTGAACATAATATTCTGTTGTTGTTGTTCCTAGTTTAGTGGAATCCCAGGTAATCTTATGTTTCCCCTTTGTGAATTGGTGTCATTGTACTGCGGAATCATTACTTAACCTTTTTCATATTCTCATGCCTTCCATTTTATTTATCTCTCTATTTCAACCTTTATCTTTAAAAGGTATGTTTCATTCACAAGGTAAATAGATAAAGAAGGAAGATAGGATTTACGGATTTTTCACGGGATATCCTTAAACTTTTGTATAATCCACATTGTGTTTTTTATACGTTTTATTTTGCACATCTAACTTTAACCATATACTTATATACCACTAACTCGGGTAATAACAAGTACTCATAGTTTATTTAACTAATTCTTCGACCACATTAATTATTATTATTTGACAAAAACTATTCATACATTATAGTCATGCACGCTTGATGCACAATTTGATCAAAGAGTAGGTTATATGGCCTGGTTTCGCGAATTTCACCAAATTAAAATTATTCTACCACATCAACCTCGAGTGATATTTGAATATATGACTACTACAGATATTTTAATATGGCAAATCTAAACTATGTATCTAATCTAAATTTTTTTGAAAAATGGAGATTTGGAGTCAATACTCATACTATTTAAAATTGTGAATAATTATTGTGGGGATGGTGCATTATATTCCTCACCTAACTAACGGTGATCTACAGTTGGACCACTAGGGGGCCGAGAGCCGTCTATCACCAATCATGGAACCACTCGCATAAATTTATTTCAATCTAACATTGCTTCATTTTTTTTGTCACATGGGTTTAAATTTATTTTCACATCATTATCGATTCGGGTTTAAACACTATAGTATTATTTAATGTACCCGTAAAAAAAATAAAAAATAAAATAGTGTAATCATTAAAGAATAAACTAATTAAGTATTATATTGTACATATATTTTTTTTTGTTGTAAGAAAATCCATAAGAATAATGATGTAAACAAGATTTGATTTCATGTTTTAAATACCACACCCATGACTTAACCGACCAACTTAATTGAAGTACATACTAGTGTATCGGAATCGAAATATTTAGCTTCTTGTGTATTTTTTTTTTAAATTGAGTAAATGATTGTTGAAACATATTTTTTTTAAAGGAAATTAAAGATACAAGAAGTTAGGCTAGTCTTCTCTCAAGACTACAACCCAATCTATCCAAATTAATAAAAAAAGACAATTTACTATCTAAAAAAAGATTAATATCTTGGTACGTTTGCATGAAATGGCCTAAAGAAGCAACATAATCTGCTACTCTATTGTCCTCTCTATAGATATGCCTGGATTCAACGGAGGAGAAAAGACATCCATATATATGAGTTGGTGATGGTACTAATCAACAAAGAAATCTACGTATGTAACTTGTAATAAAAGTAGTCTACATCAAATCATGAGATTCCAAGCTAAGGTGTTATATCCCTTCAAAAAAAAAAAAAAAAGGCTAAGGTGTTATATTATAAGTTATATATAGAGTAGACGACAGCAAATGCATACTTAAGACTTAAGAGGTGTGATTACGTGAGCGTGAATCTTGGTTTATAACTTTTCAAGAGAATTATAGCCTATTTTTAAAGAATCTACTCCGTATATATGTGCTAATAATTTAAAATTTCCACAATAAACTTAAAGAATGTACAAGTGTTTGGATATGTATTTGTTTCCCAAAAGCAATTGTACTGATACAATTGTCTTTAAATGAATTTTCTAATCCATAAACATTAGTATATACTATTAATGCAGTGCTGTTATTGATTAATGACTATAGGATATTATAACTATTAAAACTAGTCCGAACACCTAAATCAAAGATAACTTGAAATCTCTAAAAAGCTTCTTTAGAAATTAGTTTACTAATGTATGTACTACTTCAAACCCGATATACTAGTATTTAAATTTTGACTGACCTCTTTTTTTCCATGTTTTGGTACCATAAAATATTACAATTTACAAAGTTGACCTAGCTGACTTAATAAAAACCCACTTAATAATAATGGTGCAAAATGAGTACATGTTCAATAATCGGCCTAAAGTTTTTATAGTGACCAAGATAAATTGTAATACCCCTCGTGATTGCTTTAAAAGGATATACTATACTACTCATACCAACAAGATGTATCTTTCTTTTAGGGAGCTCATATACTAAGATACTCCACAGTTAAACATGCGGGGATGGGTGACCTCCTGGGAAGTTTTCTCGGGGTGCGCATGAGTGAAGACAAAATGCGCCGGAAGGACTTATGTTGGTCTGTCGGGACAGTTGTTGGCCCTTGATGCGTATTTCGTGATAATATGCCCTACCTAATTTGTTTGGGGTCGAGATGTTACATATATAGTATCTAGTTTGGAGGTTTTGGGTTAACACGGTATTAACTAGTTAACTACATTACATGTAACTTGAGTTTCAAGCATTATATTAAAACGCATACGTTATATATACATATGGAGAGAGTTGCTACAGTTACCATGCATGCATGATAACTTCTTTTCTCATCAGCGCAATTTAGAGAAGGATGATGCCAATTTCTTAATGCAGCACGTGTGACACGTCCTTCACCCAAGCTCTCTAGTCCCGGTCTGCCCACTCGGTTGATCGGATCGGGTCTGATGAGGTCGGGTCGGGTTCAGTCAATTTTTAAATTTGAGTCATGCTAAATTATTGTGTCGATGCGAGTCCAAATTTGAATCGGGTATCTTTTGGGTCGGTTTCAGATCGGGTGTGGTTTTCTCGTAACTTCGTAAGGCTACACGATGGGAGACGACCGTGATGTATATTACCATGTCTGCGGCGCAGTTTGTCATGAAATAGACACAAGAAAAGTGTACATTTTCTTGAATAGATTGTTGGTGTTACGTTCTATCTTAATTGCATGAAAATTTGCAAAAACTATAGGAAAATTATTTTTATATATAAATATCAGGATATAAACTGTAGACTATGTATTAGTAGATGCTGAATTCTTCATAATTACTTGATCTTTTCAACTCACTGGCATGATGAATAAGTCAACAAATAGATTGAGTGAATTTATGGACATTTGACGTGATTATACTTATAATAATGTTGTGATGATCCAACGAATCTCATCTCGATATTTGGTCGGGAATTATTCAGTGAATATGATCTACAATGACCCATGAACACGAAGCATGACTTTATAATAAAGCTAAGTTGTCTTGCATGGACAATCTTAGAATTGCTCTAATCCAAGATTAAGTGACTTAATTTGTTAGAGTTATCTTTTTATTCAGTTAAATGATTAGTTTTAAAAGAGTGACAAACTCAAAGTATTTAAACATCAAGTTTATCACATGAAACTTCCCTTTTTTTGTCCTTTTTCTATAATGTTTTCCCTACCTAAAAAAATGCTAAAATGAGAGATTAAATTAGAAGGTTGAAAGAATCCTTTAATTAAATAGGGGAATTAAATTTAAAGTCACGAAAAGATAAAAAAAATGAAAGGAGGGGAATAGGGGATGACTAGGTATAAATAGATAATTAAAGTAACAACCAGGGCATAGTCCGAGCCACATAAATTTATTATACAAACTCTCCGAAAGTAAAAAGACTAAAATCATTATAAGAAGTAATGCTGAATGTTTCGAAGCACTAGACAAACAGACTAGGGCTAAAGGGGAATCCGTAAATTAACTAAGGGGATTAGTAAAGTTATACAAACCCTCAAATTCAAGATAAAACAACCACTGCGCTGCAGGTTTCAAAGCACCCAAACACTCATACAAAGGAAAGAATCAACATAAAATCTGAGTATCTGACTGCATCAATTCACCAATAACTTTCGAATAATCCTGGACCAAAGAAGACAAGTTCACCAGTAAGTGTTTCTACGGAAAAGAATGAGAGGAGGGTATGCTCGCATAAGGATCACTGAACGCAACAAGATTTCCTTGGCGAGAGAAAACAATCTGCATCAAAAAATGAAGATCTCCAGTTATTTCATCAGGTCTACTAATAACAAATCACAGTAAAGCTAGTAAACGTCTCTGAAAAACACACACACACATACACTTTGTCACATATTAACTGTTTCATTTCTTGTTTTGTGCTGTACTTAGATTATTGTGCTTAACCAAGAACTATTATTTACACACGAGACAAATTCCAATGCTAACAAGTCAATACAGAGAGGTATGAAAAATTTCAGAGAATTACCTGGTAATCCCCAAGAGTTCGGGTCTTAAACATGGATGCCATATAGTCAAAATAGTATTCCCATGCTCGAATGAACTTCTCATCAAATCCAAGTGAACGGATTTTGCTAGAAGAATACGAAAAACAGTACAGAGATTTTTTTTAGCAGAGAACAGTCAATCCAAAGTAGATTACCTATATGAAGTTTCCAGACTATTTAAAATGTAGTCTATATTGTAAAATGTAAACAAGTCTAACCTCTGATTTTCAAGAAAATTTTTCCTCCAGCATCTTAATGTTTGTCCATAATGCACCCCAATATTCTCCACATGTTCCACGCTGCAAAATGGAGCAGTTGATTATATCCAGAAGACAGATATCATCGGCTTTCAAAAATATAAACACCTAATTTTAAACAATTAATCAATGATGTTGGCTTGTTGCACTTACCAAAGTCTAGATGTAGCAATCATTGCTGATGTTAATCGGCTCAGAGAAGGAAGGCATCCTCCTGGGAAAATGTATTCTTTCATGAAATCCGAGCTTCTTTTGTGCCCATCATATCTTTCATCTGGTATAGATATGGTCTGAAAAATCGAAGAAGCAATCAGAGCATAACTCAGCCGACAGGATATAATTATAAGCATGGCCAAAATCTTTTATGCTTTGACTCTACTTATATCCTAGAGATGATGCAAGTCTCATACGTTCCAATAAATATATGTTTCTGCCTGATTAGATCTCCTAGCAAGCCCAACTTCACCACAATTTTTACAGCAATGAAAATTGAATTGTGAACCTAACTTTACACGAATAATCAGCAAAATTAAATGGTGGTACTACATGACATACATAATCCAATCATGAGAGTTGTGAAAAACACACTCCTAAAACACCATTTTTCAATTACACAGCCATTTACCTGAAGGACAAGAAGCCCGTTATCTGCCAAAAGGGATTCACAATGCCGGAAAAAATCCTCATAGTATTTATCTCCTACATGTTCTAGCATCCCACTAATTCAAACACAATAGCAAGAGTCAGATCATAGTTAGCGAGTTATATATATATATATATATATATATATATATATATATATATATATATATATATATATATATATATATATATATATCAGCAAGAGGGTCTCACCAAGATATTATTCTGTCAAATTTGTGGGAGGCTGGCAACTGACGATAATCACAGAGAAGAAGCCTTATGTGATCCTGCCAGCACAAAATTATACAGCTTATTATGTAGCATATTAATAATATCAGGTAATGAAGAATGAGAATAACAATGACACAAGAAGTTTCTAAATGTAAATGGATGCCTTATTTGTCCCACTCAACACAATGCATGAAGTGAGGTTCACTCAATAATTCAACATGTCTAATTTTCTACTCTAAAACTTTTCAAACGCACATAAATTCTGATAATGCTTTTATGATACCTCTAAGCCAGCCTCCTTCACCCTTTGTTCTGCTAGTTTCAGTTGCTCCTCAGCTAGAGTGATGCCTGTGTATCGGCATCCAGTTTTCTTCACAATTTCAATAGCAAGGCTACCCCAACCACAACCAATGTCAAGTACCTCATGGTGTTTCTCTACTCTAGCCTTCATTATAGTCAAATGAGATATGTGAGCCTGAATGTAAGTATAATTTGATAGGAAGTAGAATGAACTGGAGAATGCTCACCTTTTCGATCAGAAGGTGGAGTTTTCTAAGTTGTGCAACCTTTAAGTCTTCATTTTCTGACTATTATGGGATAAAAGATTCGAAGTAAAAATAGGTCAACATTAGTAAAGCCAAATTGCAAGAAAAATTCTATTTTTAAGTTAGCAGCATACAGTATGGAGTTAGAAAAGCCTTAACTCTGACCTTGAAGATAGCACAAGAATACGTCATTGTGTCATCCAGAAAGAGGGAAAACATGTCATTATTCTGTGATTATCGTAAAGATGATGTCAAAAAAATTATATACATTGACTACGTACCTAATGCACATACATATACTCAAGAAGATATGAGAATTCAACAAAACTAGTAAATCAACTGTCATACCAAATCATAATGGCGAGCAATATTACTACGAGCTAGAGTAACCGAGTTTTGTCTGGATAAATGCTGGTAGAAATATTTTGCAGAGGCGATCCCAGCTGTAAAAAACATTGGTGTCCACCAACCCTTGAAATCAAGGCTGGAAGAAACAAAAGATTCAAATAAACAACAAATAACTGATGGGTTGGGGAAGTGTGACAATGTAACATTCAAATGGGTCCTAATAGCAAGAACAAACCTATTTTTCTCATCCTTTGACGCAGGAGCATATAGATATAGTTTGGCAAGAAAGATCTGCATAAGAATTTATAAAAATCATATAAGAAAGAAATATTACAACTAAAAATTACATTGGAATATGCTAAGGAAATACATATAAGAATAACTTATTAGTATCTGAAGGCAGTACAAAACTTTCTATTACCCTGAAAAGATTCAGGAGACCTTCATTTTGGTCAACAATCGAGATGTCTCCATTAATGAATGCATCTGCCAGACCCAAGTCAGCCTCTATGGCAACCTGAGGAAAATATAGATGAATTCCAATTGTATCAGATAAGGTTAATACACTTGACTTGAGAGAATACGTTAGTCAAGGAGAAACACCTTCTGGTAAAACTGGGGGCTGTGCACTCTTATTGCAGTTTTCCAAGTACATCTTTTGTCCAAACCCTCAAATTTCAGAACGGTGCCTCCATCCTCCAACAGACTGCCACAATTACAGAAGACAAAAAGGATAAGCAGACTAACAAATAATTTTACCAGAAGAAAAATGAAATACAATGCTTTTCAACTCATGTATATTGGGGCTGTATAGTTCAACAGCTAGACATGAGGGAAGCAGGGAATGCAGAGGCCGAACATAAAATAATGGCATATATCAGTCTCAACTCTAAAGATCAAATGAAGCAGGGAGACAGCAGCACACCCAACAGACAGCAGCACACCAATGCAGCATAATATACTTAATTAGAGACGACTCTTCCTGGCCAATTTTACCAAAGCGTCTTATACCATTATAAAAACTGATATACCTATGAGGCTATGACCAGTAAGAGACTCCTTTCTAATAGGGCAATTTGCATTACATGCATTGACTTTTAGGCTAATAACAGCATATCATAAAAAAAAAAAAGAAAAAAAAAAAAGAAAAAAAAAAGTCAAAGTTTAGCCTAAAAAACAGTGCGTAAAGGTCTAATTGTAATATTTCTACGGACAAAGCGAGTATTTTACACAGGTCACAGATCTCATGCATGCTCAAAGAGATAGGACTTACATTAAACAGCCAGCATTGATAAAACGCTGTAGGAATCTGGATATATAACTGCGGGCTATAGCTTCTGTCCAAGAAAACACCATGTTTTTGGGGTTTGCAACTGGAGTGTAGTTCCTTTTAAGAACAGCATTGGCAGCAATTAACCCAGCCTGACAGATAGATACACACCCATCCGCGGTATTATAAACTCATTTAATAGAAAATACAGACTCGGAGAGTATCTTCAGAATGAAAAAATGGTTCTACTATTCTATTGTGGTAATAGTCTGGATTCTGGATCAGTATAAACAGAATTGTGTACCTTCAATCCATCCTCGTGGAAATCGCAGCCTGAGAATAAGGCAAAAAAAAATTACAGTAAAGTGACTCTGAGAAGCAGTGATAGTTAGCAACTGTATGTTCTTTTAGTAATAGCTACTAGAATAAAAATCCAAGCATGGCATTAGAAGCTAATATTTTCAGAAACATAACTCGATCTCAGACCAAATGATAATTCAAATTCCTCACAGCCTCACCCCTGTACCCTTTCTTGAAGAACCACCATCATTTAAATTTGCATTCACCAAAAGCATCAATAGACTACCATGCCCCCGGTAATATAGATATTTAGCAAATAGCCTGTGGTTAAGGGTAATGTTGATAAGCATGCACACCATTAGGCATATGTTAAAGCTGAGGGTATGCACCTTATTGGAAGTACAAAAAGAAAAGAAAAAAAAAATAATATGGTCCTTAATTTTTGGGCAGTATACCAAGATTACTTGATTATTGAAGATAAATGTGAATGTATAATCTATGAATGTATCCCAAACTTTTTTAATTAAACATACCATGAGATGCTCCGCAGAACCAAATTCCTCGCTTTCCTTGAATATTATCAAGCTCAATTGAGGCCTTCATTGTACCAACAGAAGGTACAAGAAAACCACTGGAGCTCTTAAGCAGAATATTTTCTGGCGGATGAGGTGGATTGTAAGTCAGAAGAAAAGGTGGATTTGTCTCAGAAATATTCTGCATGAACAAAACACAAAAGTTCAAACAAGGTACACATTGAGAGATATGAGATTATGAGTGACACCAGCACACAATCCACCTTAGAGCACTGACTGAAGATGTGCAGTGCTTCAGAGCTAATTATAATACCAGTCATGCTTATATTATGAAAACAGTATACAGCACCATTGGACTTTGTACGACAATAAACAACAGCTGTAGCAGTTGTATCTTCAATTTAAAATGCTAGAAAGTCACATACATATCGTATATACAAGTATACAACAGTAAACCATTGTCAGATATCCGATGCACACAAGAGAGCCTCAAAACATCAATGACACAATGTCATCTGATAACAAGGAGAATCAGCACACACCTGCAGCACATTAAGCCAGTATGTCAATGTGCTCCCCTGAAAATTTAGTGCACTCCATGCTGCTGGATTTCGGGGCATGAATTTTTTGTCCTGATGAAGGTATACATCACTGCCAATCAAGAGATGAAATTTTCATATTAATTTTTAGAAAATTGCATAAATAAAATCAGCATATTCATCCTACAAACATTAAAAAGACAGTTGATCTGACAACAGAGACGTGAAGCATAATAATAACTTAGGGAAATTATAAGCAACTCTTCTCAAGTGTCATCATAAATCATAATACAAGATAATGTATGCACAGCTTTAGTGTACAGAGCATGGTACATCATAAGTTGCACACATCATCAGGAGAGATATTCTAAAGTGAGAAATAGGTTATGAAAGAGTAATCAAGGATTTTAAAACATGAAAACAATCAGCAATTCTCACACATATACACATGTTGAAGGTGCAAATTAACAACGGGTGCAAGGGGCAAGAAAGTTCAAGTAGGCAGCAACTATTGCAATCCAATATACCGAAACAATAAACACAGGTAATACACATAGAACCAATCGTGTCAAACAAGTTCAATGAATGTGCATACACCAACTAATGCACCATCTAAAATTAAAAAAGAAATCCACACCTGTAAACATATTGAAAAGCACCGAGTATTCTCATTTCGTCATGTGTCACCTCTTTTCCTAACATCTTTATGGCATCAGGAGCAGGAACAGCTATAATGCATCCATCATATAAATCTTTTGAACCATCCTCACAGAACAAAGTACACCCTGCAAATGTAGTGATTATGCTATTCAGTATTAACACTGTGGGACCCCAATCCTGAAAATGGAGAGGGATACAACTAAAATTTTCTTCCCCAAAACGTTGTAATTTTGGTCAATGAGGTATAAAAACTACATCTTCACAAAAATGTTTGATTGCATTCGCTTTTCTTCAACTACATACCTCAACTTGCTTCAGACTTTCCATGAAAGACGGTATGACTCTACATGTTTTAAGCTTATTTAGAACTGTCAACTAGAAGCAGGATGTTGGTTATACATGAAGGGGATGAGTTGGTTCATTTAAAAAAACCATTGTAACACATATAAGGCTAAAAAGACTCCCTAACCTTTGCATAATATTTGAAGCTTAGTTCATATTCAGTCAATGACCAATGTACTAATAAAATGGTGCCTACAAATTGTAGAGGCTTGATTTCAATATTCAATACGCTTCATACAAGCATTTCTTTCTCAAATTGTAGAATCTTGAATTCAATATCATTCATACTAGCATTGCATCTGTATGCAATAATTTATATCAACCACTTGCATCCAGATAAATCCTAATTGTCTACCATGGACTTAATCCATTGCTGATAATTAAGAAAAGCCAATTATTTTAAAGTACAAAAAAAGACAACTATAAGAATCATGTTCCAATCAAAAACAAAAATACATAAATACGACCACTAACCTTTATCACTTGTTGAAACAAACTGCACTTCACAACTGGTTCTTATTTGAGTTCCCCTAATTTCCAGCTCCTCTCTTAGCTACAAAAGATATCACAGCTTACTAAGGACGTGACAAAATAAGAAATCAATAAACTAGCAGGGAACGAAATGACTATTGCTTCAAAAGCATTGCAAAATATCCTGCCATTAAGAAATGTTTTGCCTCCATAGAATAAAAAGTAATTAAGACCTTATTCACAAATTGCTGTGAGCGTCCTCTCATAGTAAGCCATTGTGGGCCGCCAGATAACTGCCAATACCAATGTTTACTTAATCAGTGGGATAGGACATGACCAAAAGACAGAAAACAGCAAAAAAAAAAATGTCAATGGTATCCACCTGAAGTAAGTGATGGTTGCGACAAAAGGAAAGGACCGAAAGGCAGAGAAACCCATCACTCTCTCTGATGTACAAGACCAGATGGAAGCACACACGGGAATCTACAAAAAGATTAACATAAGCTCTTGCTTGAAACAAGGTAAAACACAACAAGATTAATTTTCAGCTTTTTAGCTCAACAAATAACAAGTTGAGCTGAAAACTGTAGTGCTTGACTCTTTAATAACCTGAACTTGATCACACAATTCAGTACATTTTGCAGCAGCATTAATACATAATATTCTGCTTCTCGTAATGAATGCTATCTTAATGCAGAGGTCAGATTTAATATACTTGATGTATTCAACGATGAATATAATATTTTAACAAATATATCCTTCCAAAGTTTCCATTATTTTTACAAATTTAAGATTGTAAAGGAGGTAAAAGCTAGCCTCGGTTCAAGTTTGATCTCCACTACTCGACTCAGCTCCTTTGAAAGTTATAACCCTGACTAGAACACTAAACCATCTGACAAAAAACTTTGGCAATCTCACCAGATAAGCTTTTTGGAACAACTCAGAGTAGCTCCTCGACTTGATGAAATGGCCAAGGGTTTCAGTACAATCCATTTCTGGATTATTTTCAAGAACTTCAAGGTACCTTCATGAAGAAGGAAGGAGTGATGAGATAATAACCATCATAAGAGCAACAAATGTAAAGAATACTACATAAACAATCATACAACAATTTTATATTTCGACAGCATGATAAGATAAAAGCAATTATGTCACAAACTCACAACAAGAAAGGATAAGGTTTCAGCAACATGAAGGTCTTACATGATCACATCATCTTTGAATTTCTTAATTTCTTGGAGCATTTTCCAAAATTTTGGCTTCACTGCATTACTTAACTGTGCAAGATAACTTCTCAGCCCATTTCGGCTTCCCCACTCACATCCTTGGCCTTCATCTGAGCTCACAGAAAATGACATTTCAGAGGCTTCCACCTCGATACCAAGACCATCGAAAAGCTCTGCCACATTTGGATATGAAACCTGTCAAGCAGTATGAAATTTTCATAGTTAGGAGAAGAGTGGAGGACTTATATTGTACATATATGCTTTTATTTTGAGTTCCATAGTGCATGTAGTACTAGTCCACAAAAGTAGTACTCCATACCAACAAAATCATTATGTACACCTAAATCAATCTTACTGAATATAAGCATACTAAACTGAACTGAATTGACCTGAACGATAGATAATACTCCTATATATGAAGTACTCCAAATCTTTCTTCATATATGGCATCCAAAGCCGTAAAAGTCCAACTATACTCCAATCCGCATACATTGAAATTCCACATTTATACATGGGCAATTCTTTATCAAGGTAAACTTCCGCTACAACATCAGATAATAATGTGGCTTTGTAATAGTTTACTATGACCATCCCTAATCATTAACATGAAAAGACTTAGTCCTTTGGTTACATGATAATTTTTATAAGGGGGTAATTGCTGATAAGTTTGCATGCACCAAAAATGAAAACCTTATAAAATCATATTGTATGTAGTTGCTCCACTATTCAATACTACACGAAATTATATATAAATTCATTATCATACTTACATTTATTATTTATATCTATATTATTCCACATTTCAATTTACTTGCCCCATTATTCTATTTCGAACGTCTCAATTTATCTGCCCCATTATTCAAATTGTGATGTGTAAATTTAGAGAAAATACAAGTTAATCACGGATAAAATTTGTTTATCAAAACTATAAGAAAATAAACCACATTTTACTAAAAAATGGACCCTACATGAGTCAATATAATTACGAAAATCCAATACTGGCTAGACATAATGGTTGATTTATTTATAGTTTTGCCAAAATGTCATAAATTGAGACTTCCTTTCCAATTTACTTCCCCCTTTCCTTTCAAATAAATATTTTGTCAATGGTTTCTCTTCACTTGGGTTCAACACTCATCCACTCATTTTTTCCTATCCACTCGCGTAAATTCTTGTGCAAATGGCTATCGGGCATTGAATTGGAGGAACTATATGTCTGTATACTTTATACGAAGTATAAGATCTATTGAATTTCACATGTCCTTCCCTTGAGTTTTCATATCCCTTTTAATTACTACCTCTTATTCTTTTTATTTGCAATAAAGAGTTATTATTTGTGAGACATAAAAAATTCTTTTGTTGTAACTAAAAACAAACAAAGATAGTATTCGAATACATTCATGTGTTCTTTCCTACATGGGATACCAATAACCTATCCTTCTCATTTCATCTAACCTCTTCTTAATTCTTTCATCTCCCAATTTCACATTTTCAACAAAAATACCAACCTCATCATTTACTATCCTTGTTAAACTGTTCAATTTCCTGGTATCTATCTTATATTCTTCTAACTAAAATAACTAGTCATCTTCAAATAAGAAAGGGTACAATTTCAACAACAGAAAATACTTAAATTACTATTGTAGAATGCAAATATCAATCAGACATCAAGTACAAATTCAATCAAAGAAAATCTCCAACAAAAATATGGGTGCAATTGCATAATTAAGAAAATTATATCAACAATCGAGTACCTTGGGTGCGATTGCATTTCCACATTATTGAAGTATTTAGAATTCGATTTTTTTTATTTTTTTTTCGAGTGTTGCCAAATTAAGAAATACGGAGTAATATGTATTCAAAAATATGAAAGTTCCAAACCCCATAATTATTTTAAAAATCGAGCATGATCCGGACATTATCTAGTTAATAATAATATGTGAGAAGAGGGATTAAAAAAGAAAATAATAATAATAAAAAAAAAAGTGTGTAATTTTAGAATTATTCTTAGCGGCATCCTTGTTTTGTCAAAAAAATAAAGTAGAGGGTATGCTGAATTAAAAGAAGGGAGTTTTGTAAACCAGTGTGCTATATTTGACCCAAATCTTTGAGATTGGATCATATCAGTGGTGGTTAGGGGATTTTGCTCCCACCAATCGGAATGCGCCACGTGAGCCAATCAGGTCCTGCCAAGTGTCCCCCAGTTGGACCTCTCAGGGCTTGCCACGTGGCACACGCTTATTCGTCCACCCTGGACTTATTATGTCATGACACGTGGCATACTCCATGCCTAATGGAGAAGCCGGTCACCTAGGCCCAACTTCCGAGAGAAGCCCAATCAGCCCAAGGTTAACCTAAACCTAGATTGGCACGTTTCCCGAGGTTATAAATACCTCCCTTAATCCTCATTAAGGGGGATTACGCAAAAAAGGCAGATTACACACATTAAACACTCTCACCTAGAGAGACCCAATCACTTTAATTTCCGCATTAATTACTCCTTAATCAAGTACTAACTTGACCGTTGGAGGCGGAGCTCCCACCACAAGGAGTCTCCGTTGTTTTGCAGGTACAGGCGTCCGGTTCCAGTCTCGGAGTTGTAACTCTCCCGCAGGACATCAGAAAACCCCGAAACATTTTGGCGCCGTCTGTGGGGAGAGTACTTCTGAGATGGCATCCACGTCTATACCGACTCCTGAAGAGAGGCGTCCCCTAGACGACCCTCAAGTTCAGTCGGACCACGATACTGAGAATGAATTTGAAGTTGAAGCTCACACAGCTTCAGACGGGACCCTAAGGGCCCGACGTACCCGTCATACCGAAAGGAGGAAACGGGAACATCTTCAAACTGGAAGCGAGCCAGCAGGCGCACCGCCTGTTCGGCAGCAGTCGACTGATGGGTCTGCTCCCATCACAAGGAACGAACTCATGACCTTCATGAGGGACTTCAAGGGAGAAATTCAAGAGTTGATCAACAAGAAGCCGCCTGCTCTGGACAAGGAGCAGTCGGCTAAGAAACCCTCCACTTCGCGGAAGAGGAAGCCAGTTCAAGGGCGAGAGGCGACCCCTCATCCTAAATCTAGGAAGTGGGAGCCACCTGCCCTTGATTTCATAAAATACCGTTTTCCTACTCCAGGAAATAGGAAACATGTTCGTCATATTCAGGCGGACGGGTCGAGGAAAACATACACAGACGCTCGGCTACTGCTAGAGCAGAAGAAGAGTGACCGATTGTCAGAGTCGGCCTCTACTTCAAACTTCCAAGACAGTCTGCGAAATACCTCGATGAGGCATACTCAATCGTATCATGAGGGTCAGTCAGGCGGCACCTCCCGTCAGTCCGGCTTTCATAGCGACCAGGCGGTACCAAACTTACCGTTTGTACCGCAACAACATTATTTTTTACAGCCACCTCCGTTTGGTGGACATGCAGCAAAAAATGTCCAACCTATGGACTGGCAGCTACGGTTGCTTAGACTTGGTGAACAGCCGTCGGCCTTCTCCAAGGAAATTACTGAAGCCGCTCAGCCGGCCAAAGTGAAAAATGTATTAGTAGGCGCCTACGACGGCACTACTAACCCAGAAGACCATCTGATGGCATTCACCAACCTGATGTACCTTCAAGGGTTGGATGATCCCACTTGGTGCAAGTGTTTCCCAGCGACTCTCAAAGGAATCGCACAACAATGGTTCGGCAACCTGCCGACTGGTTGTGTAAATAACTTCAAGACGCTTGCTTACTTATTCACCTCCAACTTCGCCATGAACATCCCTGCGAAGAAGACGACCCTTGATTTAGGAACAATTCAGTAGGGCGAGAAGGAGGGGCTTCGTTCTTACATCAGGCGGTTTAACCTGATGAGAATACAGATTCAAGGGTTACCGGATGAAGTAGCCTATACTGACTTTTTCAGAGGTCTCAAAGACGGGTCGACCTTCAAATTTGATTTGGTCCGAAAGAGGGTGGCGACTCTTCAAGAGGCCTTGATTGAAGCGGAAGCCTATATACAGGCGACTGATCTTTGTAGTACGGTAAAACAGTCAGACGGGAAAAGGTCCGACAAAAGAGAAGGACGACAGAAACAGTCGTCAAACAAAGACGAGAAGAGAAAAGAGGTCTGGGCGGCTGATTCCTCTAAACAGTCGGCCCAGAAGAAGAAAAAAGAATTCAAACCATACTCCCCAAAGTATGCGTTTAACAAGGATAGCCAATTTATCCTAAAGGAAATCAAGGGACGGATCTCAATTGAGAAGCCGGTCCCCATGAAGGGTTCTGCAAACAACCGGAACCAAGAAAAATTCTGTGATTATCATGAAGATGTTGGTCATCACACCAATGAATGCATCAGTCTCATGCGGTATCTGGACCGCCTGGCTGAGCAAGGTGATCTTGACACTTATGTCAAGAAATCTACGGGGAACACTTCCTCGAAAAAGCAGTCGGCCAAAAAGAATCAACAGGCCGACAGCTCCGATACAGATGATGCAGTCGTCTACACCATTGCAGGCGGCTTCTCAGGAGGCGGCCCCACTATTAGGGGCAACAAAGACAATATCAGACGGTTAGATGTAAATTCCGTTCACCAAGAACGGCCCTCCAAATATTCATTTCCTGAGATTGTCATCACTGAAGAAGATCTAGGAGGGGTAAGAGGGTCGCATGACGACCCTATCGTTATTGAATGTAAAGTGGCCAACCAGAGAGTTGGCCGAATCCTCATAGATACCGGAAGCTCCTCAGATCTCATCAGTAGCAAATGTCTGTCGAAACTAAAATATCAGACTGATTGCATACATCCGGCATCCCACCCTTTAGTAGGGTTTGGAGGAGGAGGAGTCCACCCAGTGGGACGAGTGGATTTACCCATCCGCCTGGGCGAAAAAGGGGAAAGACGACACATGGTAGTCCGGTTCCTGGTGGTAGAAGAACTCTCGGCCTACAACATGATTCTGGGACGACCAACCCTGAATAATTCCAAGGCTGTTATAATCCCATCTCTTATGTTGCTCAAGTTTGAGAGGGATAATGGAACAGTCGGGTCCCTAAGGGGAGATCAGAGGATGGCCCGAGAGTGCTATCTCTCGGATGTCAAGCCCACTGTTATGGCCACTGGGTCGAGAGGTGGAAAAATAGACCTTGACAATGTCAAGGAGAGTGCGCCTGTTCAAGAAGCAGGCGGCAAGAAGAGAAAGGCATCCCAGACAGGGGCCGCAAGAAAAGACAGAAAATAGCAATCATTGGCAGAGGAGCGGTCGGATGAATTCCGCCCTCAGCCAGCTGGTGAGCATACGGACCTGATCTTAGATGACTCGCGTCCTGACAGAACAATCAAGGTTGGGACGACTGCTCTAAGGGACCTGGGTGACGACTTGCACAAACTATTGAAAGAATACAAGGACATCTTTGCATTCGAAGTCCATGAAATGCCAGGCATTAGTCCTGATCTGGCGGTACATAAACTGGCCGTGGATCCGAAAAAGAAGCCAGTACGGCAGAAGAAGCGGAACCATGGCGAAGAAAGAAGTCAGGCGGCAGCCGCCGAAGTTAAAAAATTACTTGATGCAGGGTTCATTCGGCAAAGTTACTTCCCAGACTGGGTTGCAAATGTGGTGCTTGTTAAAAAGTCGAATGGCACCTGGAAAATGTGTGTAGACTACACAGATCTAAACAAGGCGTGCCCCAAAGACAGTTACCCTCTGCCTAAAATTGATAACCTGGTCGACTCAACAGCCGGCCATGCTTTGATGAGCTTTATGGACGCCTACTCTGGTTTCCATCAAATTCCTTTATGGAAGAAAGATCAGGAGAAGACGGCCTTCGTCACTGATCAGGGGTTATACTGTTACACGGTCATGCCGTTTGGTCTTAAGAATGCCCCGGCCACTTTCCAGCGAATGATAAACACTGTGTTCTTTGATTAGATTGGGAGAAATGTCGAGTCATATATTGATGATATGATTGTCAAGTCTAAACTTCAGAAAGATCATCTGTCGGACCTCCGAGAAACTTTCTCCACACTCAGGCGGCACCATGTAATGCTCAATCCCAGGAAATGTTTCTTTGGAGTTGAGTCTGGGAAATTTCTCGGATTCCTTATCAATCAGAGAGGAATAAAGGCGAACCCTGAGAAGGTGCAGTCGCTTCGTACCATCCGAGAGGTTCAGAAGTTAACAGGTTGTCTGGCGGCCTTGGGAAGATTTCTAAGCCAATCAGGCGACAAATGCCTATACTTTTTCCAGACAATTAAGAAAAAGGCAAGGTTTGAATGGGGGCCGGATGCTGAGGCGGCCTTCCAGAAATTGAAAGTTCACTTGCATTCCTTGCCGAGGCTGGTCAGCCCTTTGTCCAAAGAAGTACTCTACATGTACCTGGTCGTCTCTGATCATGCGTTAAGCGCTGTTCTCCTTGCTGAAAGAGACGGCTGTCAGCTCCCGGTCTAGTTTGTCAGTCACGTACTGAAAAATGCCGAGTTGAGGTATCCCTTAGTGGAGAAATTTGGTCTTGCACTCTTCATGGCTGTTAAAAAATTGAAGCCCTACTTTTTGGCACATGCAGTCGTCGTGTATACAGACCAACCTATCAAGCGGCCACTGACCATCATGGAGTCGTCAGGCCGAATGATCAAATGGGCCATAGAAATACAGAGCCTCGAAGTTACCTTCGAGCCTAGAAAAGCAGTGAAGGGGCAAGCCTTTGCTGACTTTATTGTTGAGATGACTCGTCCTCCTGACTCTCAAGTTCCAAACCAAGTCTGGAAGGTATATGTGGATGGAAGCTCTACTTCAAATGGTTGTGGAGCAGGCGTCATATGTCACGAGTATGCTCTACGCTTCAGTTTTCAGGCCTCAAACAATGAGGCAGAATATGAAGCTTTATTAGCCGGAATCCGCATGTGCAAGGCGGCAGGGGCAAGAAAAATAGACGCCTGTTCCGATTCACAATTGATAGTGAGTCAGTACAATGGCGAATACGAAGCAACCCATCCGGCCATGATGAAGTATTTACAGGCGGTCCGACAAGCAGTTGGCTCCCTTGAGGATTTCCATCTGACCCAAGTGCCGAGATTAGAAAACAACCAGGCGGATGCACTTTCAAAATTAGCATCATCCGCCTCCTGTGATACTCCTCGAACTGTTTTTTGGGAAGTAATGGAGAAGAGAAGCATCGAGGAAGACCCTATTGGA